TTGTCTTTCAAGTTCTTCTCGCCGTTCTTGTTTTTCAAGTTCTTCTCGCCTAATTCTCTCCTCCGTTATACGAGTCAAACACATCTTTACATCCTCAACCTCATAATGTTAACAAGTTTGAATTATTTTTTTAATTTCACAAACATTTGCTTGAGGGGGAACAGATTCACCTAATTCGTCGGCCAATCAATCCACCACAAATCCACCTTTCCAATATCAAATCCACCTTTTTCGCTTTATTAAGAAAAGCCATAATTTACAACTGATAAAAAACTACATATACAATCACTGACTACCTTAAATCAACTACTCTTACTATATCCCGCCGCTGCCACCAGTAAAATTCTGTCGTGTCACAACAACCAGAAATAAGACGTGGTTTGTACCAAACAAATTATTTAAACATTCACACGAAAAATCACAAAATATTACCCAAAAAAATATCTCTTCTCAGAAAAAAACTCTCTTTTTCAACTACACAAAAAAGAACATCACTTCTCGTGTGTGTCTCTCAAGCAACAACATTTTAGCATTACCTCTCGAGGAATTGATGCTTTTAGCTCAGTTGCGAGAAATTGATGCTTTCAGCTCAGTTGTCACACTGTTACATTGCAATATGTTATGTTATACAGATCCCGAGCAAAGGATTTTAGAATATTAGCCAATAAATTAGCCAAATATCAAAGTCATCACCAAATGCAGATCTTAACATGTTTTATGATTATTTTCTTTCCTATAGAAAACTATTTTCCGGTGATTTGCTTCTGACTTTCATTATTTAAACCCATTTCTATTTGATTTTGGGAGCATCTACCGAAAATTACTGTAATAGAATAAAAAATACTAATTTGTTTAGAAAAATTCATTTTGACGTAATTTCAATTACTTCCCAACGGAAAAAAAATAATTCGCCAATACTTTCGCCAAAACACAATTTTATTCTGCAAATTTACAATTTTATCGCATTTGGTGAGGAGTGTGAATGTTTAACATGGGCCCTTATTATATCTATATGATTTGTTAAAAGTTTTTAATTCACTACTAAATGGTTTTCAAACTATAACGCGTCTTAAAAATAAATTCAACAATGGTTATTTTTAATTTATTTACTTTTTTTAATTTAATTATCTTTCGTTTCTGTTAAAAACCGATTACAGTCATTGCGATAATGCAATTATGCAGAAAACAACACTTACTTTAAAAGAATCTAAATCATCAATTGTGCATTGCAAAACGGCTTCTCTTCCTACTGCAGCAGTAACATTTGGTATGGGTTCAGCAAAAGAAGGCAACTTTGCCAGGTTTGCCAGAGAGCTATCTAAAATAATAAAAAATAATTTTATTATTAATTCAGTAAATTTTTAAGTGAAACATAAATTTTTATAAAGTGAGAAAACATGTTGGAAAGTTAAATTCCTTAAAATTTTAAATAAAAATAAAAACTTGTAAAAGATAAATTTTAAACGGCAAGAGATTATTCCAATGAAATCTATATAAGCTGGAAATTAGGACATGCTCCTCTTTCTACTTCAGCTGTAAAATTCGATATGAGGTCGGCAGTAAAGGATAACTTTGCAAAGGTGTAATAATAATATGTAATAATAATAATAATGATAATATGTAATAATAATAATAATAATATGTAATAATAATAATAATATATAATAACAATATGTAATAATAATATGTAATAATAATAATAATATGTGATAACAATATGTAATAATAATAATAATAATAATGTCGCTCCTAAACGAAGTATATATTTTAATTTTATTTGAAATATGTATAAGAATATTATTATCCTAGAGAATTTGGAGCAAATATAATGAGAAGTAATAAATTATAACTGAAAATAAAATGTTTCTAATTTGGCAATAGAGGAAGTCAAGAGACTTGAACTTTTTGCAGGTAAAAAGATCCTTTAACTTTTCAAAAATGTTTTGTCTATTAGTATTAAATGTCATTAAATAAATTCGAAACAACAATTCGTCTGAAATTTCTTTTTTCATTTTTGAAAAAATGGCACAGAATTAAACTTGAAGTATCACAAACTATTACTTTGATATTATTTAAGATAGCGTTAAGAGATTTATTTGTATTAAAAAAATATTCGGCCACACAGCAAGTTGTACAAGGGAGTCTTGAAGATAAGATGATTAAAATTCTATAATCAGCTTGCAAAATCTTTTGCATAAAATCGTTATTTATTTTTTATGTTTCTCGATATGTGTGGGGTCATTTATTGATAAAATTTGAAAACAAAAATAATATTTGTCGGAAACTTATTTCGCATTTTTTCAAAAACATTATTATTCTTGTGAGTATAGATAGTTATTTAAGAAAATTTCTTACCTATTACAGATTGTACACAATATTAAAAATAAGATGCATATTTTGAGGAAAATATGACGATACGATTAGTTCTTTTTTGTTATGTTTTGCATTGATAAAAAATTAATAGCACATTAGTAGTAGTAGTACTTTATTTATGCCACACACGCGAGCTGTACAATGGGTTACTGACAACTCTCTGGTAGACATCTCTAGGGATGATACAATGACATGCTATATCAATTTTAATCAATTGCGGAAAAGATATCTCCCCCGTTATGGTTGTCCGATGACCTGTGAACGAAGTCAAGCAATTTACAGAAAAACAGTTTAACGAGGACCAATACCGCGTACCCTCGGTCACTTCATAGGCCCATCAATGTTTACTAACCTCACCGCTCACTATCCGTAGAGAGTGATTCTTGACTTCAATTGGAAACCATTTCTTGCGATTAGTATTCCGAGGGACGAAAATAGATTAAGATGAGAAAAAATGTTATTCTAAATCCTTGCAATTTGAACACAAAGCAAAGGTTGAAAAAACGAAAGACATTTCCCCATTTAAACAAAATATAATTATTTGAGTTAAGGGTAGGTAATGACTTTTCTTCTTTAAATCTCTATTCATTTAAGTTAAATGAAGCCATAAAAAACCGTAAAAATATTTGACTGCCAGTTAAAGGTATGTCCTTATTCTTTGGTTTTTCTACACGGAAAAAAAATCTAATATATCTGGGGAAAAAAGACGTCGATTGGTTTGCCAGTATAAAACCATTTATTTCGAAGAAAAATACCGTTATTTAAAAACAAACAACTGTTTTTTTTGCGCAGATAAGTACTCTTATTTTTTCAAAAGATTCTATAAAATAAATATGTCAGGATCATGCTCGGTGTGAGCTGGAAGCAGCATTCGCCCGACGCTAGGAATCGAAACTGGGTCACCTCGTAAGGAAGGCTCTGTCATCTGAGCTACCACTGCTCTAATGTCTCAGCATTAAAAAAAATCTCGAACATTTCTTTTTATCGTGAAAGTCTTACTTATTGAAAAAATATTTAAATGCAAAATCGCTTAATACTATAGTCACTCACACGTCTTTCAAACCGAACAGTTGGCAATCTTTGAATGCATTAAATATATTAAAAGCACTGAAAACTTCAATAATAACGATATTTATGTAATCTGGTCAGACTCAAAATCATCAATATCATCAATACTTGATTTTGGCACAAGTAATAGAATTTCTTTTGATATTCAACAAGAACTACAACACACATCAATTCAAATTTCCTGGATTAAAGCACACAGCAATAGAGTAGGTAATGAAAAAGCAGATGATTTAGCTAAACAATCTACGAGACAACCGAAAAATTATGTATACCCACTTCCAGTTTCATATCTTAAACGACGTATTAAAGATTCTCTTCTAACAAAATGGCAATTTCAATGGAATAATTCAGACAGAGGCAGACGTCTATTCAAAATTATTAACAATGTTACTTTTTTCAAAACAATTCCTCCAAAACAAGTCATCTGGTTCTTGACGGGTCATGGACCATTTCCAACCTTCTTTAATTACCTGCATATAACAGATACTGATCTTTGCACCTGCGGCCAACAAGGTTCGCCTGAACATTATCTCACTAGTTGTTCCTACACTGTCTCCTGGCATAGTCGTCAACCTAGCCCAACAAATTTAGAAATTTGGCAGAAAACTTTTATTACGAACAATACTTTAAACAAAAGATTAATAACAGTAATGAACTTCTTAGCCGATAATGACTATCTATTAAAATTTTAATAACTTCCCATTTCACACGTATAATATTTTTTTGTCTTATTTTTTCTTAAATTCCACACTTTCAGTTTTTTTTTTTTTAATTTTTAAATTTTTTTAAATATTATGTTATTTAGGCTGGAGTGGAGCTGGACCAGCGGCCAAGTCCTGGGCTATATGGTTAAGGATTTTCATAACCTAGGTACATGCTCAGGGCTTGGAGGAAAGAATATCTATATGATTTGTTAAAAGTTTTTAATTCACTACTAAATGGTTTTCAAACTATAACGCGTCTTAAAAATAAATTCAACAATGGTTNAGGTGCGCGCGACTAACGAAAGGTTAATTACCAAACAAATTGTATCTAACGAAATATTATAATAAGGTAGAATATCAATTTGACAATAAAATCGAATCGCAGTTTTATTTATGCACTGTTGAAAACCATAAAATAATTGTTGAAGAAGAAGAGCAAGTATAGAATATATTTGTAAAATTATTTGAAAAAAAAGTAGAATTATGGTACGGTTATCACAACTGAATGCCATTGGAATTCGAACTAACGGTTTTAATTCTTTTATGAATAGGGTTGAAAAACAGAGAAAAACCATTTTGTAAAAACAGTTTTAAACAGTCAAATATACAGAGACTGTCTTTGAATAACAGAAGGGAGTTTTATACAGTTCACTAACAGAAAGAGAATTTTTACAGTGCGTAGATAACGTTTAAAAACTAAAAAGATCTGTAGCTTTCTTTAATTTTTTTCTGTACAATGTACAGTTATTTTTTGCACTTTAACACTGAGCCAAATTTATATGAATACTGTATTGGTATTTATCAGTGAGCAGCAAAGTACGTATTGAAGAGCTATCGAAAAGCTATTCTGCTATTGCTACCAATATATTTATTAACCACGCATTAAATTGCAGTATAATAACGTTAACTGAACACTATTTTTAGTCTTTAATGAAAATAGAATTTATGTATGTTAAATACCTTTATAATATACTTTACGTTAATAAACAAATGCGGTTTGGTTTCTTTAATATACATCCCACACATTTTTCAGATACTCAATATAAATCTCTAAAATTAATAAAAAGGATCTTTTACCCATTTTGCTTCAGAATTATCAGATCCAAGATTCAATTAAACCACGAAACTTTAAGCCGCTGAATTAATTAAAAAGCTTCGAAAAGTTTTCGAGATTACAAAGAAACACTTTACTTGAAACAATAAGTTTGTATTCGGAAGAATAACATTCATCAGAATTCTCTAGGCGATGATCTAGCAGCAGTTTCAGTCCATAAAATACTAAAACCCAGCAAAATAACTTTTATAATCACAAGAGCTGATTTTAAAAGTGGAGAGGATTAAGCACGGAACGTAAAGCAGTTAGAAAGATAAATTTTGTGAAGAACTTTGTAAAAGCACAGATAACATAAGGGAGTTCAATTTTAAATTCGAGCATTCAATTCAATTGTTTCAAAAATTATCAATATCAATTATTTCTATCCGTTGCAAAGGAAAAAAAAATATTTATTATGAATTTTATTAAAATATAGAAAAAATTTTAAACATTTTAGTGAAAAATTAATATTTTCCTAAAATGTTTATTAGTAAAACAATTAATAGGCAATTATTTTAATTTTGCAAAAGATTATTTACATCTTTATATGAAAAATGATGATATTAAAGACAAAATAATCCAGTAAATGCAGGAGAAGGAACCCGAAATCGAAATACTCTATTCTAAATATTAAATCTAAAGCAAATATATTAAGTTACTGCAGAAATTTTAAAAAAAACAAGCCGCAATGAAAACAAACGAAATATAATTTGAAAATTAATAAGGACTTAATATAATAAGGGATAATCGGCGCTCTACTGTATATATATACACCGAAAGTGCATNTAGAAAATATTGATATACAGTAGAGCGCCGATTATCCGAACAGCTCTGGGCCGAACATATGATTCAGATAATGAAAAGTTCGGATAATTGGAAAACTGTTTAAAATCTAGTGTACATGATTATTATTAATGCACTAACTTCCCTTCGGCACCTTTTGTAGGCTTAGGACTGGTAGTACTATCTAAAATAGCTTTGGCGTGTTTAAAAGTTTTTTTTCTTCAGTTTTTAAATATTTTCAATTAACTTTTTTTTAAAACTTTTTTTTATTTTGAATTATTTTCATCATATTTAAGTTTTTTTATAATTTTTTTTGTCAATTACTGATTTTACCACATTTTTCATTATTTTCTATTGCAAAAGAAATCCAGCAAAGATTTCGTTTCAAAGAAGATGAGTTTTTTTAGCAGCCATATATCCCTTATTATTTTTCAATAAATCAACTGAACTGGATCAACATCATTTTGACGTTCTAGCCAATTCATTGCAATATCTAATGAATTGCAGGCTTCTATATGAGAAGGTCCACTATCTTGAACTTGATCCCTTACTTCTTCCTCTTCGTCTGTGGAGTTCAGATTTTCATTCAAAATTTCAGCAACAATTTCATAATTTTCATCCGAAAGATCTACTGGTTCAGAAACTTCAGTTTTTCTGTTAAGAATTTTATTCCAAGATTTATTATTCCAAGCACTGTAATCACTAATCATTTAACATAAGTGACAACTATTCATTCCCCATTTATAAAACTTCTGCACTTATCTATTCATAAACTCCTTCTGAATTCCAACCATTGTAGACTATCAAAATGAAGCACGCATTCTTGGAAGATAATTTTGAGTTGTAAAGGGGTAGGTAGGTTTAACTGTATCACCATACATGTATGTATGGCTGCTATAAGAAAACTGCTAAAAAGGTTGTAAATTAAATATGGTCTTCGGATGTAGGGGACATTATTTATTCTTCTTAATTTAGAAAAATTGTCAAGAGGTTAAAAAGTATTCTAAACTTAAAAAAAAAAAAGTGAATTAATAAATCCAGAATATATGATATTTATAACTATTTATTAGGTATTTTTTCTATCCATACAGTAATGTTTTTTTTAAAACATTGGTTTTCAGACTTCTTATTTTATTGCGACATTTTTTAAAAAAAAATGCAATACTGAAAATCTGACCGATTAAATGGTTTATTTGATAAAATTACCAAATTTTTCATTTACCAATTAGAGTCACATATTATAAAACTATATTTTATTGTTAATTTCACCAAAATCATTACCAAAACACTTCGGTTAAAATTATTGAAAATTTTGGTTTTCCCATAGGGCCAGAAACTCGCCAATTTGCCATATTCCATTAGTTTTAAGCATTTTTTTAAGTGTTAAATGTACATGGATATTTTTAACCTGATAGTTTAATTTATTTGTGTTTAAAGTTAGCAGAGTGTTCCTTTTCTGATCTGTATATATTTTTAAATTCGAAAATGAAGTCGATAAGTATGCACAAGGGTTAAACCAGAAGGAAGAAAGAGCAATCCGATATCGAAATTTATCGCATAGAAGCCAAAAATTCGTATTTCAAACATTGAAAAGATTGTTTTTAATAATCGCTTGTGAAATATCTTTTTTTTTCTTTACTACTGCAACTGCTTTCGATCTTTTACATTTCTCCTTCTTCGATTGTGATCTTTTATTTAGATTTGTTTAGCTTCAATATTATACAAATGCTAAAAATTAAATAAAGGCGTAATTACAAATCTCCTTTTATATTTTAGACTTGTATTTAAAATGTAAATAAGTTATACTTTTTTTTTTTTATCTAAAACATGTATGTTGAAAGTTTATCTTAAACCAAAGCAAGAACATTATCCATCAAGTTAAAGACACTTAAGTATAGGCTTAAAATAAATACTTTAGCAACGATAGAAATGAAATAAAAACAAAAATAAACGAAAGAAAAATGATTAAAAAACGGCATTCGGTTGGACATTTTTCTTCGCTTGTTAATGTAAAAAAAAAATACTTATTACTTTTTCGTTTAAAATAGTTCTTTAGCAATCACGTAGTTTAAAAGAAAATTCCCTCTCTAAATGAACAATAATGATGATGCGTGAAAAAGAAACATTAATTTTAATTGCTTAACTACAGTCACCATTCCAATTCCCGATAAATGAAGTTAATTCCTAAAATGCGTGGAAATAAATTCAACTCGTCTCATCAAATCAGTTTCAAAGGTCAAATTACGATTAGCACCCAATGGAATAATGTTAATGGAGTGCTTTTTTTATTTCTCTGATGACACTTTGTAGGGATTTTAAAACAAAATTTCTATTGCTCTTTCGAATAATCAGGGATTTAGAATAATTGTTAACGATATATTATTTTATTTCTTATTCAGTACGTAGTATTGTGATCATATTATTCATTCTTATCGAGATTAACAATGAGAGTTTGGTACGCTGGCATTTATTTTTAAAACTATCAAATTGTAATTTTTTTTAGCTTAAGGATTTACTAAAACTAAATAACGGCAATTTATTCTGTCGATGACTGTAACGAATATTTTCGAAACTGTTACAAGTTTTGTAACTGATCAAGGCATTTTTATAAACGGAATTAAGAAACAATTAAGGCAAGTATTTCTAAATAATAAATAATTTGAAGTAATTGAAAATATGGCACATGATATTCGAAATTTTTTATTTTATTTCCAATGAGCTGCACAATCAGTCTTCCCGATGAGCAGACCTAGAGCGTTCTCCAGAAGTGGTATCCACTCTTTCAGGACCATTACAATGGGTGAGATACCGTTGGCCATGTTAATTCCATGTTTGGACGTCTAGTTTCTGCCCCACTAGATGGCAGCACCGAGACTCTATTTGGAAGCTAAAGTGCACTAGGAATTTAATTTTGCCGGAAATGCCAAGAGCCAATAAGACACTCCAGGAATCTTTTACATGCCGCATAATCATACGACATGGCCGCTGAGAATTTTCTGCATCCCGAAAATCCGGTGTCTGGACCGGGAATTGAACCCGCAGACTTTGGCTCAGAAGGCCGACGACAAACCAAATGCGCCATACAGCCACTAATATTAGAACTACATTTTATAATTCAAAAGTATAGTTGATGAGATGGAAATATGTTAAATTTTTAATTTTAAGCTCGGCTATTGAACAAAATGTGTTGGATTTGAGAAAAAAATAAACAATAAATTAATACATTTCTTGAGAAGTTTTTAATGACCTAAAGATATCTACAAACTTTGTAGACTTAGCCTAAAAGTTATAGCTGGTGCCTAATATTTTAGTAAAAATAAACCAGTTATCTCTGACAATGTAGATCTTAGACAATGTTGATCTTATGTATAATATCTAGTAAAATTTTCTGTTTTTGAAGATTTACTATAGAGTTAAATATTTTTCTATTTAGAGCTGCATGCAATATATATTTCAAATATTGCGATATATATATTGTATATATATATTTCAAAAATTATATATATTTCAAAATATTCAAATATATATATATTTCAAATATCACATGGCACTGTACGAGTCATTTTAGGCGTCTACGAAGCTGAAAAATGTCTGAAAAATCAATGAGAATAATTAGGTTTAGAGGTAATTAGGTTTTTAGATCTAATACAAAAATCAGGTACCAACATTATCTAGCAAAATACAAGAATCTACCATTAGTTTTTTGAAAACAAAGTATTGTCAATAATATATATTTCTTTTTATTTTAATGTTTTTCTTACTATTTTATGTCAATAATATATATATATTTTTTATATATTTCTTATTATTTTACGTCAATAATAAATTTTTATCTTTATTTTTTTATTATAAACCTTGAAATTTTATTTTTTTCTAAGAACTTGAGCATTGTAAATCAATATCAAGAACATTTCATTTAATATTTTTGGTAATAAAAATGNGTTTTTTTTTTTTTTTTGCGGACTGTACAATCAGTCTTCCCGATGAGCAGACCTAGAGCGTTCTCCAGAAGTGGTATCCACTTTTTCAGGACCATTACAATGGATGAGATACCGTTGGCCATGTTAATACCATGTTTGGAAGTCTCTGCCACACTAGATGGCAGTACCAAACTCTATTTGGATGCTAAAGTGCACTAGGAATTTAATTTTGCCGGAAATGCCAAGAGCCAATAAGACACTTCAGGAATCTTTTACATGCCGCATAATCATACGACATGGCCGCTGACAATTTTCTGCATCCGGTGTCTGGACCGGGGATTGAACCCGCAGACTTGGGCTCAGAAGGCCGACGACAAACCAACTGCGCCACCCAGCCACTGATATTAGAACTACATTTTATAATTCAAAAGTAGAGTTGATGAGATGGAAATATGTTAAATTTTTAATTCTAAGCTCGGTTATTGAACAAAATGTGTTGGATTTGAGAAAAAAATAAACAATAAATTAATACATTTCTTGAGAAGTTTTTAATGACCTAAAGATATCTACAAACTTTGTAGACTTAGCCTAAAAGTTATAGCTGGTGCCTAATATTTTAGTAAAAATAAACCAGTTATCTCTGACAATGTAGATCTTAGACAATGTTGATCTTATGTATAATATCTAGTAAAATTTTCTGTTTTTGAAGATTAACTATAGACTTAAATATTTTTCTATTTAGAGCTGCATGCAATATATATTTCAAATATTGCGAATATCATATGGCACTGTACGAGTCATTTTAGGCGTCTACGAAGCTGAGAAATGTCTGAAAAATCAATGAGAGATTGTTTTGTATCAAAACTGGAGTTTTGACAGTATTAAAGTGAAATTTGAAAAAATTATAAATAATTATTAATAAATTTTAGCAGAATTTCATTTAATTTATTTACCATTTAACATAAGATAGTTTGAATAGTTTGCGTTTGGATTTCAATGATTTGGTATTTTCACAAAAAATACAAGTTACTCAAGAGGTAATTAGGTTTTTAGATCTAATACAAAAATCAGGTACCAACATTATCTGGCAAAATACAAGAATCTACCATCAGTTTTTTGAAAACAAAGTATTGTCAATAATATATATTTCTTTTTATTTTAATATATTTTTTACTATTTCATGTCAATAATGTATATTTTTTTTCATATATTTCTTATTATTTTACGTCAATAATAAATTTTTATCTTTATTTTTTTATTATAAACTTGAAATTTTATTTTTTTCTAAGAACTTGAGCATTTTTAATCAATATCAAGAACATTTCATTCAATATTTTTGGTAATAAAAATGTGCAAATGTCAAAAATAAAAACAAAAAATAAAAATATTTTTAACATTAATAAATAAGAATCAAATACTAGCTTTAATTTCAGAATGGTATAAAAGGAATTTAAATAACAAAGAGAAATGAATATGGATTTCATTATTAAATGGCTATTATTTTTAAATAGTTTGTGAATCGTATATTTATATGAAAGTTACATTTATACACCACTTACTTGCTGCTTCGTATAAAATTTTAAAATATATTTATATTTTCAAAATTTATTCAAATTATCTGAAACGATTCAGATGATATTCTTCCGGGAGTACTAAATCAACCTCAAATAATCATAATTAAGGATGTTTTTATGCTTCCATACATAATTAAAATTGCTTATTATTTAAAAAATTTTTATTGTATTCTTAAAAAATATTCCGTTAAATAAATCCATGCTTCGAACTATCAT